CTGTGATAATGTAGTTTATATACAACATGCTACTGTGAGAGTTCTGTGTACACACAACATGCTACTGTGAGACTTCTATGTACACACAACATGCTACTGTGAGAGTTCTATGTACACACAACATGCTACTGTGAGAGTTCTGTGTACACACAACATGCTACTGTGAGAGTTTTATGTACACACAACATGCTACTGTGAGAGTTCTATGTACACACAACATGCTACTGTGAGAGTTCTATGTACACACAACATGCTACTGTGAGAGTTCTATGTACACACAACATGCTACTGTGAGAGTTTTGTGTACACACAACATGCTACTGTGAGAGTTTTATGTACACACAACATGCTACTGTGAGAGTTCTATGTACACACAACATGCTAATGTGAGAGTTCTGTGTACACACAACATGCTGATGTGAGAGTTCTATGTACACACAACATGCTACTGTGAGAGTTCTGTGTACACACAACATGCTGATGTGAGAGTTCTATGTACACACAACATGCTGTTAGTATGCTTTGTATACCTTATATGGCAATGTTACCATCTGTTGTTGTTTTATGAAGTACTTGATTTCATAAAAGTTATAAATTTTAATATTCACTGATAAATTTGATTATAGACATAAAAGTAATTCAGTTTACTGTGGGTTTTAATAAAAGTCCAAATTAATTTAGGAAGCTTTCTCATAAGCATTATGTAGGAAAGTAACAAATTGATTTAAAGATTAGCATAGACTATAAATATTTTTGGTTTTTGATTGTCAATATCTCAGTCTAATCAATTAAAAAAATACTTTGGAATTCTGAATTGTTTTGTGGTGAGGAATTTGGAGGTTTGTTTTTTATTTAATGAAGAATTTGGTCTTTCAGTTGTAGAGGAAATGTTAGGACATCTATATGCAAAACCTCCATCAGCTGAGGTTTACCTTGAATCTCGGGTCGCAGGTAATTTGCCATCTTTAATGGCATGATTCAGATTTGATGTTGTCACTTTGCATGGCTGTAAGCTGCTTATACATGAATGCTGTGTTTAAAACTTCTTTTTGTGCTTCAGATATTTTTAATTTTAGTCTAACTTTTGATATCTCCAGTTAGTTGCACAAATAATGTATTTGTAGAAAAGTGGATTTTGGAAGGTTTTGGAAATATTTTGTTTATATCATTGAATAATAATAGATAGTACAGAACAAAATAATGTTTTTAAGAATGGTATAGTAATAATTGTTGAACATTGTTAAGATATATGATATTATAATGAATGTTTAAGAAATTATATCAAAATGTTGTAATACTTTCTTCATATTAAACAGTCGATTTTGAAAGATTTTATATACAGTTAACATAAAATTAAAACATTTTTTGTGTAAAGTACCCAGTTTACTCGTGTTATATCAAATCATTCAAAGAATTTTTTGTTATCAGAAGTTGTTAACTTCAGCACTATTTTGTATAATCATTGATATTAAACATTTCTTGTTAAATAGCCAGTTCGAAACTTTCCTGGTTTTCCTGGTTTTAAAATGACAGTTCATAACAATATATTGTGTTAACTGAATCTTTTCCTTGTTAAGATTGACAGTTTACTAGAGAAATATTCATATTAACTGGTTCTTTTCCTTGACGGTTTACTGAGGAACAGTCAAGTTAACCGAATTCTTTCCTTGTTAAGAGTGATAGTCTACAAAATATGTTGATTTTTTATTTCCTTGTCACCCAGTTTTAGAATGAAAACTTTCTTTCTCTAGAAGTTAACACTAACTGGATATAAATTCTAAGCTCATATTTGTGTTCTTGGGGATAAATAGAAGTTAATTTAAAAATAAAATTGTTTTTGCACCATGTGTATGTTTTCTTGTCAGATCAAAGTAATTCCAGTTTATTCATGGTGAAGAAAGGAGCTTGTATAATCTGGTTCTTATTAGTGTGAATTATTTAGTTTTGTGTTCATAATTTTCAAGTATGATGAATAGAGGATGAATGATATCACTTCTTGGCAAGAAGCAGCTCACCAAAATCTTAGTATCAGGATAACTGTATCTATAGAGTTTTAGTTCTGTCAAGTGCCACTTGGGGGTGTAAGTGTCAGAAATGGCTCACCAAGTTCTTAGTATCAGGATACCTATATCTACAGAGTTTTAGTTCTGTCAAGTGCCACTTGGGGGTGTAAATGTCAGAAATGGCTCACCAAAATCTTAGTATCAGGATAACTGTATCTATAGAGTTTTAGTTCTGTCAAGTGACACTTGGGGGTGTAAATGTCAGAAATGGCTCACCAAAATCTTAGTATCAGGATAACTGTATCTATAGAGGTTTAGTTCTGTCAAGTGCCACTTGGGGGTGTAAATGTCAGAAATGGCTCACCAAAATCTTAGTATCAGGATAACTGTATCTATAGAGTTTTAGTTCTGTCAAGTGCCACTTGTGGGTGTAAATGTCAGAAATGGCTCACCAAGTTCTTAGTATCAGGATAACTGTATCTACAAAGTTTTAGTTCTGTCAAGTGCCACTTGGGGGTGTAAATGTCAGAAATGGCTCACCAAGTTCTTAGTATCAGGATAACTATATCTATAGAGTTTTAGTTCTGTCAAGTGACACTTGGGGTGTAAATGTCAGAAATGGCTCACCAAAATCTTAGTATCAGGATAACTATATCTATAGAGTTTTAGTTCTGTCAAGTGCCACTTGGGGGTGTAAATGTCAGAAATGGCTCACCAAGTTCTTAGTATCAGGATAACTATATCTATAGAGTTTTAGTTCTGTCAAGTGCCACTTGGGATGTAAATGTCAGAAATGGCTCACCAAGTTCTTAGTATCAGGATAACTATATCTACAGAGTTTTAGTTCTGTCAAGTGCCACTTGGGATGTCATCAGTCTATACAACCTGTCTCCATCATAATTAGATGGTTCACAATCATTTGTATCAACCACTTCAGTAGCCTCTGAATATGATAACCTTTTGTTGCCTGAGTCTGTTCTATTCTTCTTTTTGAACTTGCATGGACCATCTAATTTCAACAATATAATGAAAGCCAATTTGTCACATGCTTTGTAAAACAGTATGCCTACATGTACTACTGTTAATAGTGTTATAAGGACTTGAATTAGTCATCTTCCATTTATCTAACCTGTTTCTTTCTGCTTTAGTTCACAAGTGATCTACATGCTCTTGAAGCTCTTTAATAGCAATCCTGATCTTCTAAGGGCAAATGCTGAGTTTCTTCTGATATATTCGTCAACTCTCTAATCTCTGAATCTACATTTATGTTCTTAAGTAACTGCGATTCTTCATCTGTTAATAGTTCATGCAGATCTTATATTTAACTGTGCTCCTGTTTTACTTCTAAAGCTGGAGGGTAAGGTTATTTTCTGTCCATGTGCAGAGAAATTTCTAGCTAGTTTCAGGTATTCACTATTTCTTTGTTTAACGACTCTAGTCTGATAATCAAATTGATGCAGATCAGAATTTGGACTGATAAAGTTTCCACTCTGGTTATTCCTCCAGAGTGTTTGAGTGACTTTCCTCCACTCTTGGAGAAGAGGGTGAAGTTGGGGGGCCGATCCTATCCAGGACCCTTGGATGTTTTTCCTACAGATGTCAGCAGGAGCAACACTGGGATGGTGGACAGAGGTTATT